TGTAGGTTTCGACCAATACATTCGATGTCTTGGGAGACGAATTACCGACATGTATATCAATGCAGCGATAAATTTTCGAATGTCTATTTCTGATACATCGGAGACTTGAAACGCCTTTTGGTGTTTAATAAACACCAAAAGGCGTTTGAACAAATATAAACACTGTTTATATTTGTTCGATTCAGATGTAATTTTTTTAATCAATGTACCGTCTACAAAATAATCGAAAACAATACGTGGCGTTTTTCTCGATGGATTGGCAAAATATAAGATTGGGTTCAGATGGCTTTCAGGAAGGTCAATTGAATTGAACTTTTGACGTTTCCATTTGATTTCTTCTAATTTCTTTCTTTTTCGAGGTGGACTATCATTATCTTCAACGGACGATTCATCAATATGATCAATCATTTGATTACTTTCGTTGTCTTCCGAGGTTGAACTTTCATCCGGTATCGAAGTAGCCATTTTTCGTGATAGAAAATCTCGAAACAGTTGAAGTAGTATGTTCTTCAGTTGCTTAAATGTTATATATTGTTGATGATTTGAAAGAAAATCTTTTTGTAACGTACTATTGTGCGTATAACCACAAAAGAATGTTCTATTCACTATCTATTTATAAAACAATTAATTCCTTGCAAAATAATTAATGTAAATACCTAAGTATAGATGAACAAAATTGTGCTATAAGCAAACACGTTAGTCAAAAGAAAAGGAAAGAGAATATTGTTAAATTATACGAGAAGAAATACAAGAGAAAAAGATCAGACACAGAATAATAACGCGTGACCGAAAAACAAAACAATATGCACTGCAAGTAATACCGCTAAACTACAACAAACAAATTTTTTCTCTTATGATCCGGTTATAGTGCATGTTATAACATTTTGTATTTAACAGGCGTCATGAAAAATTAATTTAGGGATAAAGATTAGATTTAGATTCTTGTTACACAGTCCACGATAGTTACTCTTAAAGGTGGCATAAGGTTCCTCGTTAAAAGCCTTCTAGTTCAAAAAAAAAATAAAACTTTTATAACATGTTTCCTATAGGGACCAAAGGGCAAGAAAGGGTTAAGTTCGTTTTTGTGTACTTTAAGTCGTTTTGGAATAGAGGAAGAGTCGGTGAATAGAGGAGCAGCGGAATAGGGAATAGCAATCGACCGGAATATATCTTGAAACGTTCTCTAACCTAGATGAGAGAAACGTAACAAATGAGTCTTTATAACTTGTAAACATACAAGATGAATGAACTATTTCGATTAAAATATAAAGTTAGTGCTATTCTTATCTTATCGCATTGTCTATTGCCACTTGTATATAGAAAATGAAAAAGTGATGAGATCAAAAGAAGAGAAGGCTGAAAGCGGTACATTTGATCTCTATAATTCTACCATATTTTCTTTTTTCTTTGCTTTGTGCTCTAGAATTACCATTAGATAGGATTTCTGTTCGGTAACCAAGAAACAGAAGAGGACTATAGTTACTCAAAAAACCTAGGAAACTAGGCAAACATGTTCTAAAACAGCGTTAAATCATGAACAATGCGAATAGACATTGTCGTTTCTTTGAAAGAGTCACTTTTGTTCAACAGCGCTGTGTTCAACGAGAATAAACGCTACTCACTTGACGCTTTCTATAAAAATAATTATCTTCGCAACCGTTGAGACGTCATTGATGAAACTTTCAGAAAATGTTTAACTAATAGTCGTTATTCATTGCGCCAAAATTTCAGTTCAATCCGTCTGGCGGAAAAAGTCGACTTTTTCAGCTCATGACGTATTTCATAAGAATGAACAAAAACAAGTTTGTCCCTAAACTTTGCCACTTTATACTTTATAATAATAAATAAAAGGGTGCTTACCAGAGACCGTGAACATAAGTAAGTGGCCATATTATATCGACGTAGAAGTAGGGCCCATAAAAACAAATCACGAACAAATTCTAAAATAAATGAAATCTGCTTTTATAAGAAAAAAATGACTGTGAACATTCACATTTTATTGAATTCAAAAATCGAATAGGTTTTTTGTACCTAGATGGATAAATGATCAGAGGCGGCGGAACCACTAGTTGAAGCCTTACATGTATTTTGCACTAGGTTGAGCTTTACCGCGTTTTGATAAAAAAATTATATGCTATCAACGTCTTTTCATTAACATTTTCGTCCTTTAGAGTTTTCCTGATATAATGAAATTTCTTTTCGATGTCTAACATTACAGAACGAAAAGAAAATCAAAATACTTGCGAGGTGCCGCCGCTTTAAAGGCTTCCTGGCCACATGTGGTGTTGCTTGAATCTATAACGTTTAGTAGAAAAAGTCAGTATTTTTAAGAATAAGAGCCGACTATGGGACAAAAGGCACAGCGCCTTTACGATTCTGGACAGAGCACTGTGCTTTGCACTTTGTTAGAAGAAACAAAGGGCACCCAGTGTACTCTGCAAACGAAAATGCACCTTGCTTAACCCGTTCATTCCCAATGTATGTTTAGACAGACACATAAAGACAGTTAAATAAGTCTTGAACAACGCAAAATATTAATGCGTGATTTTCAACATTAGATAGCCTACACTTTAAGCTATGTTTCCATAAGCAAAGATTGATTTCGAAAGATGTCAAATATCGGATTTTCAAAGGATCCCTGCAAAACTACTTCATATCTCTCAAAACTTAAACAACAAATTATTGATTTTTTTTCCATCTCAAGATAGTCTAAAGTGTCCTATTTAAAATGGGAATCAAGCGAATTCTCAATTTTTTCTGGTTTAGATGGATTCAGGAATGGAATAGGCATTTAGATGGAATTTCTATGAAATTGGACCCAGCTTTTAGGCCGTTTTTTGCCATTATAATTGGGAATGCTTAAATGCATTTATTTTGCATTTTTTTAAATGTCAGAAAACGGTCAAATAACAAGCATTTAACTGCTGTCAGTAACACTGCTGATTACATTTTTTTGCCAAATATCACTCTTTAGACCATTAGAAAATGTCAAAAAAATGTCTTCTAAAACGTGAGGTACTATCACCGCACCGATCGAAGAACCACAGACCACTTCTTCGAGCAAGTTTCTACGATCTGCATAATCGAAGAAAAAAACTCTAAATTATTATGTATATTATATAAAATCAGAGTCATTTATACTAATCATGGAGGCAGAATAAAACGGTGAATGAATTAGTGACCATAATTTGGCTGTTAAATGTCAATTTATGATCATTTTTTTGCCATTTGAAATGGAGAAAAAACTCTCTCAAAACGGACATGTAACAGGCACATTTATTGGGCATTAGTTAACATTGTCTAATAAATGTACAAAAATGGCATTTAATGGTGTCCATAAAATGCCATTTTTTCGGACATTGCCTATAATATGGCATTATTTTCACCATTATTTTAAAGTAAAAAACAAGTCATTATAATGGCTGTTAAATGCCAATTTTCATTCCATTTTTACACAATTAACAGGTCATTTTTTGGCATACAGTTAACAGGCTGTTAATAGACAATTAAATGGCAGTTTTTGTCGACCTGAGTATTTGTTTAGATATGGTAATCTCAAAAACGAATAGAAACATAGGTAATCGATTACGCTGAATCTTGTGGCAATATTTGTCTTTCAGAACAGTTCTAAAAATCTAGTGAAAATCTATATTAAATGAAATCACCCATTTTGCCTATCACTAAGTAAAATTAAAAAATTCTTTAAGAAATCAAGATCCATCCAAATCATGTCAGAATATCAACGTCTACTCTATTTTATCTGCTCAATACGATTTATTACTTGAGAATTATAAAAAGCATTCTTGTACTTCCAAAGATTTCTAGAAAACCTTTTCAAAAACTAACGTATGTTCTGTTGCTTTTTAAAACTTTTATTGAACTTTATGATGTAATGTAGATAAAATAGAGTAGATCTTGATATTCTGACATAATTTGGATAGATCTTGATTGATTGATGGATTTTTTAATTTTACTTAAAAACAGGCAAAATGGGTTATTTCATCTAATATACTTTTTCACTAGATTTCTAGAACTGTTTTGAAAAACAAATATTACCACAGGATTCAGCCATGTTTGACATTTTTCGAAATCTTTGCTTATGAACGCATGGCTTAAAGTCTCGGCTATCTAATGTTGAAAACCGCACATTAATATTTTGCATTGTTCAAGACTTATTTAACTGTCTTTATGTGTTTGTCTAAACATAAATCGGGAATGAACGGGTTAACTGCCATAAAAAACTTTTTGATTAGCAGACATTTGGGCTCAACGACATTTGGTCGCATGGAGACAAAAGCATTCAGTAATAGTGTATGTGTTAAAGTATGATGCAAAACGATAAAATTCTCTTTAAACAAACTTCGTACGATGTGAGAGCTTTTTCTATCTTACTCATATCCCACTGTAACCACTGCTTCTTTAATCTTCATCGATACTCACACTCACCGTCACTCACACCGGCGTATTTGAACCTCAGCTGTTGTTGTACCCAAACGTCGTTGCGCTCAAATGTCGTGCGCCAACTGTCGGTTTACTAAACTTTTCTCTCACTTTAATCGGCTAAATGTTTCCGATCATACTAAAAGTACCAGCAGTCAATCGATACAAAATTTCGGCAGCTAATTGGCCAAAAAGATTTTTTCCCTTTAAAATATGCAAAAGCATTTTCTCGAAAATATCTCCATAGGTTTTCGAATTTAGATGCAGATTTTAAACTTGCACTTTCGTTTTTCGAAGGTTTTCTTTAATAGGATTTTCAAAGACAGCTTCGTAAGAAACATAGAAAACTGTTTGGAAGTGGTTGGTGGATCTTAACAATTTTAATTATTCTGCCACGGCTAACTGCCACTAGTCAGGCACCTATGGTTCTGCTTGCCGAGTGCGTCCTTCGTCTTTTCATTCCGTATTCACTAACAATTATAAAAGTTGATGCACTTTGCTAAGAAAAATACAGGACACTTGTATACTTTATAAAAGTGCACAAATGTACCTCATCTCAAAATTCTATTGTAATCACTGGGAAAATCTTTTCTACAATGAATTATTGCTGCCGAACCCGTGGAATGGGGTTGTTATCATTTAGAAAAAATTGTAGTTGTGTGTCATGCTTACACTCCGCTTTAAATGTTTTGGATAAATCTTGTATAAGTGCCAAGCAAATGACCAGACTGATCGATCACAGAGTTTTTTGTCCAAAAAAAACAAAAATGAGAGAGAGAAAATAATTTTCTTGAGATGGGACGCAGTTTGGCCAAAATTGAGCCTTACCCCATTTGAAAACGTTCCGCCGCCTCTGGATAAATGAAAGCCAGTAAGAGTACTAAATGAATTAGTATCTTACAAAAAGTGTGTTATCATAACAAGCAAAATTGTATGATATTGTCTTCTCCTACGAAAACGTCGACATTTTTTCATTCATTTGATTATAAAGTGAAGGATAAAATTAATTAATTTCAATATCCCCTGACCTGTTTCATTTTCTTGACGGTTCTGAAACATAAAACCTAATAGATCAGTTATTAGCTTTACATTCTTTTTCTCTTCTCGTTTGTCGATCTCCTACAAAAAGATATTTGAAGTTATATGAGCTAACTTCCAGGTTTTCGTCTATTACTTTTTGGATTATATCTCTAATATCAATTATTTTTCGTAAATGATCAAATGATGCACCCCATTCTATCAATAAACCAACAAACTGAACGGAATCCAATCGTAAAGCATTCCACAATGCATCAGCCAGTTGATTTTCCTACATAGAACAACCATTATGGCAATGAGTAAGTGATACTATTTAAAGATAATTCTTATTACCGTCCACTTTGAAACATTATTCTGTGTTAATATTTGCTTTTGTGCAAGATCAAATTGTTTCCATGTCATAGCTAATTCTAATTCTTTGATTTTATGTTCATTTGAGTTTTCGTTCTTTTTCATTTCAGTAGCTAAAACAAATTCCATATAACGTTAATTCTCACAAATAAGTTTGTTGCTTACGTACCATTCACGAGTGCTTGTAAAATGGCTTCATCTAATTTATTTTCATTCTTTGCTTTTTTCATCGTTTTATTGCATTCTTCACAATATTGTTTCTTTATTTCTTCTGTCGATTGGAATTGAAATATGTTTATTAAGTAGTATCCTGTTCGTGATAGCATTATGTTTGTAAAAGCTTCCTTATTTCCCTGTCCAATCACTGTATAGTCAGCTACTTCCAGTTGTTCATCGCTGTTAAATGGTCAAATTAAAAAAATCTTTAATTAAAGTGATTAGTTCACCTTACAGTGTTTTTTTGGTTGGATTAGCGTATCCTTCGTCAGATCGTTCTTTTGCTGTGCCATACAACGCTCTATAACATTTAGAAAAAATACCAGCAGCCCGACCAGTACCCTGAAATTAAAAGATTGTCATTTTACTCTTCCTAGAAACGGATGGAGTAATCTAACTTACGTCAATAATGATTACTGGTGTCTCGCGTTTTAAGGCTTCGACTACCGTTAGAATAGTTGAGGGACCACCATTGGCTAAAATCTGAACGATAGGCACTGTGTAATCTAAATAAAACATTATTTTCTGTATCTTTATAAAAATACAATCATCAAAATATCTTACTATGTTCTCGATCTTCTCTCGCTTCTTTTTCTATTGCAGCGCGCAACGATAATATAAGATCTGATCGAAATTTAGCATTATAATGCTGTGCCCAACAAATACATTCATCGCATTTAATGCATTTGTCATTAGTTACTTTATGTGAAGGATATTCCCACCCATCATCCAGTAGAATGAAATGTGTATGATTTGGATCTAATGTACACCCATCTTCTTCTTTCTGATAACTTTCTCGCTCTCGATAAAATCGAATCCTGTCCAATTCATCCTTTTGAATATCGATCGTCTCTTCATTTGTTGCTTGTTTCTAAAACAAGAATAGTAAGACATGTACGCTCATTCTATTCGTTCTAGAAAAGAGACCCATCTTACAATATGTGTCTCACTACTATATACATTTGATATAAACTTTATTCTGTCAGAATACAAGCCAAAAAATATTCTATTACAGTATTCTAGAGTAAAACTATCGAAGAGCACAAAGAGTTTTGTACGAATACACGATAAAACACATGAACTTAGCTTTGCAGAAACTGCAAAACTAAATCCAGTGTGCTATGTCTATATTTTGTACAACGATTGATGCATCAGTATTTTTTTCTCACGTGTTGCTCTAAGACGGATGAATCTATTTATCTTATTTTAGCTAACTTCAACTCCCGAGATGACAAATCCCTTTTTGCTAGAAACCTAAATGATTATAGATGATCCACTATGGTGATATATCACGAATCTGATGGTCGATTTAGTTTTAGAGTTTTGGAGACCGATTTCTAAAAGCAATATTCTAGATTCAGAACCTTTCTCAACACATTTTTGGTTTTGATCTTTCCAACTTGTAGAACACGTCGATTTATCTCTATAAAATTTTGATGACTGTCCGATCAGTTTTGACAGACTTGTAAGTAAGTCTATTTAATATAAACGTAAAATACCGGAGATAAGGGAAAACGATGATATAACGAAAAAATAAGACAAATCAAAGAACATGATACATTAAGGTGAACTGTAAGAAAGTGACTGATTGATAAAAATTCTACACTCATGCATTGTCTCGCCTCAAAGATTAACTTACCTATAACTCTGTCAGAACTGATACGATAGTCGCTAAGATTTTTGTGTATAGATAACTCAGTATACTCTACAATTTGGACCCCGACTGCAAAACATCTCGGAATTTAAAAACCTAGTTTTTCCAGAAACCGATCTCCAAAACCCTAAGGACCCAGACGACTATCAGCTGTGTGATCAGCACAATCGATTACCTACGACCATGTAGATTTCGTGCAAAACCGCCTTTTCATCTTGTGACCTTTCCTTTTCAGTATTCTACTAGGTATCATCACGGTTTTACTCATTAGGATTATAAACTTCCTTCAAGGCTCTAACTTGGATTAAAATAAGATGTTTCAATCCACGTAATGTTCAGGTAGTTGGTTTCAGAGCTTACACAGCTAGACCTGTGCAGCACACCGCTGCCGCCGCCAATAAATAACTGAGATTTTCGGTCTCGTAGCCACCGAAGGAGACGAAATTTTCTGGAGTTTCACACTGCCGCCGCTGATGGATAATTCAGATTTTGGCTCCACCGCCGAAGTTTTTTTTCGCCGTCACAAAAACAGTACAGGTTTTGTTTTTTTGTATTATTTTGGTTGAAAATAAAAATAAAAAGTTTGATGAAATTGACAATGGATTTTGACTTAAACTAAGTTTCCTACTCAAATTTGATTGCTCCCCTCGGCTGACGATCGAAAGTTTTAAGTGATCTTTTAGCATCCGCGGATTGAACATTTTTTCAGGCGCTGCCGTCGAAGGTGGAAAATCGTTTAACGCGGCGCTGCTGATCGGAAAACTTTTGATACACGCCACGCCGATTTTCCGACCGGTGTACAGGTTTATTCGCAACACAAAGCATACCATTCTTCTCTGCTCTCTGTTCTGCTCCAATTGCTCGTGACCTAAATTAATGGACCACATTGAATAAATGCTAAAAAGGTTTCAGGTTATTTCTATTAGAAAATTTTTTACCTATTGTGTAACCCCAACTACTGATTCCAATACAAGGAATTTTTGATGATGTTTTTGTGTTTTTATATCGGCATTTATCAATAGCATCACCAACCTCTTTCATGATGCCCGACTTCGTACCACCGGTGAAGATCCACGCATCTAAATATGAGAACATTTTTTCAATAATCATCAGTTAATTAAAAATACTATTGTACCTGTTGTTACTGCAGCGGATGTTAAACCTTTTTGAAAAGCATACAACATGCCTGGTGTTGTCCATTTAAATAATCTGGCCCCACCTGTAACTGATATAATTAGTTGTGGTGGCTGTAGTTTCCACATATCTTTCATAAATTGAACAATCTGTGGTGTTATTATTGCCTCTTCGTCTTTATTTTCTTCAATTGTAGTATTATCTTCCCTAGTAGTAGGTAATTCGACCTTATTATTTAAATTAAGTGTTTCTGTTTGATCTTGACTTGGTTTCTCAGCTTTGAGTGTTGTTGTTTCACTGCGTGTAGTACTCTTTGGTATTTCTATTTGACGTGGTCCTTCTGTTGGCTTCTTACTTTTATTTTTATTTTCCCTCTTTTTATCATCGTCCTCTTTCCCTTCTTTATGACCAACCTTCGGTGTAAATGGAATACGAATAAACTTAAAAGAAATAAACTTCAAAATTTGTTAATGGACTTGAGAGGCATTCCGGCTGTACGAACGGCTAAAAGAAGCATTGACACACCTTGGACAGACGGTCGTTTTCAGCAAATTGTATTTGACCATAATCTTTGATTCTAAATAATAATCAAACATTGATTATTATAGTCTGTGGTGGATGCAATTCATATACATTTTATCTTTTCCCACGAGATTACTCACTCACCTTTTCTCTGGACTTTTGTCAGTGTTATAGTTGGTAATCCACTAAAATCGATTTTTTGTCTGTAATGTATAATTCAAATTGTTTTGTTACTTACTTTATCTAACTTGTCTCACAAAATTCTAGATTTATAATCAGAAATATCGCAGAATGGCATTACC